CGTGCTTTCATTTTTTTTTTAATGCCACATAATGGTTTTCCTTGATATTCTTTAAAGAAGCTATTGAAGAAAGTAGGTAAACATGGGTTTTAGTTTTTAAATACAAATATATTCATATGGCTGTATTTCTGTAGCTACGTATGACACGAATTTTTTTCTTTCATACTGTTATCAGAAAGGAATTCTAAAATATAGCCCTAATACAAAGTATATTGTCATAGGCAGAAAATACAACCTTTTAGCAGGGAAATTACAACCATATGTTGAATTCACCCAAAAGATCAGTCTCTAGTTTTGTAATCATAGCCTATGTAAGAAATATAGCTCTCGGGACTTCCCTGGTGGCACAGTAGTTAAGAATACGCCTGCCAATACAGGGGACACAGGTTCGAGCCCTGGTCCAGGAAGATCGCACATGCCACGGAGCAACTAAGCTCGTGTGCTACAACTACTGAGCCTGCGCTGTAGAGCCCATGAGCCACAACTACTGAGCCTGCGTGCCTCACGCCTAGAGCCCGTGCTCCGCAACAAGAGAAGCCACGGCGATGAGAAGCACGTGCGCTGCAAGGAAGAGTAGTCCCCGCTCAGGACAACTAGAGAAAGCTCGCGCGCAGCAACAAAGACCCAACGCAGCCAAAAATAAATGAATTAACTAAAAAAAAGGCTACACAAAAATTCACCAATTAAAAAAAAAAAGAAAGAAATATAGCTCTTTTTAAAAAGAGAGACAGATGAATCCAGTTGATAATCTGCTGGGTTTTGAGAGTTCAAGGGAATGGCTAAAGAAGGTAAGGTTAAAGAGCATATAAAATATCTTTCCCCTTCTAACTTATTCTTCCCTTCAAAAATTCTAATGTCAATCTAATGTCCTATTAACTACACTTTCAGAAGGATTAAACTCTTAAACTAAATGTCCTGACAGGGTTCATTTTTATTTTGAATATAAATTTGTGTTTCTTAAAAGTTTTTTTTTTTAATTTCATTTGTTTTTCTCTTAGTGTCTACATTAAACTAGGAATTAAGCTAACCTCTTTTACAAGCCTAGTAACCCTCCACCTACCTCTTCTTTTTGACACTTGAATTTTATCTAAGGTTGGGCCCATGTTATGTCAGTGCATAGTATATGCATTCTATACTATTTCAAAGTGGAAAGATGGATTTAATTACGAAAATAGTGTGCCATCTTGTGGAGGATTATGCAATCAGCATAGTCTGACTTACCCCTAAGGATCAGAGGAGGAGGATAGATATTGCAGTTGGGCTTATAAAATAAAAAGCCTGCTTCTTTGTGCAAAATGGTGTGAAGATACTGCTGTGTTAACATTTCTACCTTTTTCTTAGCGTATATAAGATTTATAGATTAGTACTATTGGTAGTAAGTAGTTGTAGGGGTTATTTAGTACTGATACGAAAAAACCTGTAAAAAAGACTGGTTGCATTTTAGCTTTTGTGGCCTGAGCAATAACTGATTGATTGATTGGTGATTGATTCATTTAGTCTCTGAGAATGAAATTGGTTTGATATCTTGAACACAGGCTATTATTGGTCACTTTATTTCCGATCTTTCTGTTTCCCTGGCTCCTCCTTTTCCGTAAGTCCTATATGCTGCAAGTTCAGATCTGACCATGTCACATCTCTGCTTAAAATCTTCTGTTGCTATTTAATACTATACTGTCTGTGGAGTCGAGTTCAAAACCTTTATATTGTCATTTAACCCATTTCATTATGTGGCCACTACCTGTCTTTTTAACTTACCTCCACTCCACTACTTTTTTTTGTTCTTTTAAAATGAACAGTGCATTTATTCACCACACAGTTTTCACCACTGTGCATGCATTATTTAATTCTCATGGTAGCTTTAGGAGATAGGTACTCTGTGCCATTTTAGAGCTGAGGAAACCAGTGGTTAAGGAATTTGGTGTTGGTCACACAGCTGTGGTGATAGAGCTGCAGTTCCATCCAAGATCTGCCTGACTTTAGATTCTGTGTCTTTTAAAACACTTTTTTGTGTGTTTTTCTGTCTCTGTACCCTTGTTTTACTTTTTACCCTGCTTGAAAAGTCCTCTTCTCTTTCCTTCATTCTACCAGCAAAGCCACTTTCTGATGCATAGGTCAGATACCACTGTCACCATGAAATCTTCCTGAGTCCCCTCAATCTGGTATATTCTCTTCCCTTTTTTGAACCCCCGTGGTGCTTTTTTACCTTTCTTACGACACTTAGTCTGCATTGCATTGTGGTGATTAATGTACTTGTTTTATATTCTTCACTAAATTGTAAGCTCCTTGAGGGTAGGGATGATGTCTTCTTTATTTTTATTCTCTAAAGTGCCTTGCCAATTCAGATTAGTACTCAAAAAATGTTGAGTGAACATTTCAGTGAGTCTGAGAGAAATAGCCTCTGTAGCCTGTGCTCCTTTAAGAAAAAATACAGAGAAAGGGCTGCTGCATGAGGAGGATTATACTGCCCTAGGGATGTGCCTGAATTGTTATATAACCTATAAGCAAGAGAGTGGACATCGTAAACCAAGCTACTGCCATGTTGCAAATAATAGCATTTTCTTTTTTCTACTTTCTTCTCACTACAGTTTTGTCTGATTATTTCTATAATCTTTAAAAGTTTTTGATATCCTTTATGCATTAAATAATATTTTCGCTGGTGTTTGGATAATATTTCATTCCTGAATGATTTAACTTAAATGATTAAATGATTAAAATTTTCTTACACATTTCATTCAGGTATGTCAAAAGGTCCTGTTACCATCTGATTCATTCAGTTTTACTATTAAACTTTAACTGGGACCACAGAGCATTCACGAACAAGAATGACATCTTGGATTAATTCCATTGGGATGCTTGCTCTGTGCCAGATTTTATTTTGCTCAGCTATCAATGAGGCTGTTGTGGAAATGTGGGTTTTCTTTGCTGTGAGAATTTATGCGTACAAAGAGACCTGCTTTTCAGAAAGAACATTGAGAACCCAGATCCCAAGAGGAAGGGTTATTAAAGTTAGTGAACCAGGGTAACCTTATCCAAAGGGTGCCCAGAAACACTGTAAAACAAAAGGTCAATTGCTATTGCTATTTTAGCTATATACCCCCTCCCTCTCCAGGCTTCAGAATTTAATGGGGTTAATTGCATTTATAGTGAGGCCTTGGCAAATAATTTTTAAGTCAGATGAAAATTCTTTAATTTTTTTCCTGTAGAATTCTCAGTATCTGGGCATTACTGTGTGCCATTTGGGAAACAGAATGTTACTTAACTAATGATAATGGATTGTTTTATACTTCTGAGAGATGGCAGTTTTCTAATAGTTTCCATTATTTCACATTTATATAGAGCCAAAAGTGTTCTAGGTACTGGGTTAGACACAGAAACATACAATAATACTGTTTTAATTGCATCAGTGGTACTTAGTAACTACAAAGTATTTTGTGTATATGTGCATGTTTTAAAGGTAGAAATGCTGTTCATGCTTGACACCCTTCAGAATGTTTTCATGTAACTTATATATGAAGAACTTTACCACCACACTGAGAGTTTGTAAATGAAAAAATCAGGACCCAGGCAAGTTAAGTGACCTATACCTGATTACCCAGTTAGCACTAGAACTGTTCCAGTGGTCTGTTCTTATCCAGAAGCATTGTTTTAATTTCCCCTAGGTTCTTTCACTTAGAAAATTCACTTAGAGTTTGAAATTATATGAAAATATGACAAAAATCTCTTATAAGACATCTCTATGAATGGCAAGAATTTTCTTAAGTAGTGTTACAATATTTCCAGGTGCATTTCAACCCTTCATGATGGGATGTAATTTAGATGACAGTCTCCGCATATATTGGCCTAGGGCATGTCAGAGAGTAGATGGCTTTATAGTTTTCATGTAATGTATTATATTTAACTTAAAAAAATGGTAGGCATTATAACAAGTAGACATAAGATATTTACAAAGGGAAGAAATATTTGAAGAAAGGAAAGGCACTATTATTTTATAAAGAAAGGTAAAAATTTTCACTGGTCATGGAGCAAATGTTTTATCACATGATAAAGTCCATAGGTATAATAGACATTTCAGAATTAGAAGAAACCAAATTCTCAAGGTACCTGGAATGACTTAAAAGTTGATTTCTGAGGAGTTAAATCCACCATAATATATTTGGAAAAATTTCCCCCAGTTTCCGTGGGAATATCAAGGCTATGCATCACTTTATTCTTAAGATATCTAACTTTAACTCACAGCTAGTTTTAACCATTGTTTTTTGTATTGTAATAGAAAACAGTTTTAATGTGAAGTTTTTTCAGAAGTAGCTAGATAGCTTTATATTATATATTTTTTTTGCACTGTATATTTCTTCGAGATTTCTTTTTTTTCTTTTCCCTTTTTTTTTTTTGCGGTATGCGGGCCTCTCATTGTTGTGGCCTCTCCCGCTGCGGAGCACAGGCTCTGGACACGCAGGCTCATGGGCCTAGCCGCTCCGCAGCATGTGGGATCTTCCCAGACCGGGGCACGAACCCGTGTCCCCTGCATCGGCAGGCGGACTCTCAACCACTGTGCCACCAGGGAAGCCCCCCCCCCCTTTTTTTTTTTAACTATCTGAAGCTGCTTTGTTAAGAAGCTGGTAAATGTAAATTTTTTGTGGCCTGACATAGAAACTCCTAAACTGGCTGCACATCAGGATTCCCCCTGGACACTTTAAGAGTACTGACTCTTTTTACCCACTGAGGACCTATGGAATCTGAATCTTAGGGGATGCCTTCTAGTTATCTTTGTATTTATAAATCTCTCAAGATAGTGGTTCTGCAGCAGCCCTTCCGTATGCCTATATTTAGGAAGTACTAGTATTTATTTTGGAATGTTAACCAGTTTAAAAAATCTCATTTTTAAGTTTACTTAGATGTACCTTCTTAAATGATCTTAGAAGCAATGGCTTTATCTGGGTGCCTATACTTAAATTTTGTTCTTAAGTTTATTTTTTTTGCACATATTTTTCTAATTTTCACAGAGACTGTTTATTTGTTTGGTGGCTGGGATGGAACACAAGATCTTGCTGACTTCTGGGCGTACAGTGTGAAAGAGAACCAGTGGACATGTATCTCTAGAGACACTGAGAAAGAGGCAAGTTCTCAGACTTTTCATCCATCTGTATTACGATAGGGGTGTGGTCGTACACTTCTTTTTCTGAATGATTTGTATTCTTTGTAAATGTCTATCAGCAGTGATAGCAGAAGAATTTGTGGTGACAAGTTTGGTTTAAGTATTCTTGCATTCCAGCTTCTATACCTGGTTCTTCAACTATTGGTACATGAACAAATCTATTTTATAGAGATAAATAGAAATGGGTATCTAATGTAATTTAGTTTTTAACCACTTTAGTTAAAATGTAACTGTGTAACTATTATTTTTCTTATGTTCTTGTCACCTCTACTCTTATTTTGAACATTTATCTTATTTTTATTTCCTTTGGAAGAATGTGCTTTTGGCCCCTCACTATCTTACTATTTTGGCCCCTCACTATTTGACTATCTTATCAGTTTTCACAAATGATGTATATTTTATTTTTAACTAAACTTGTATGTATGTATTCATGTGTGAGTCTGTCTATTGATACATATATACATAAAGCTTTTCCATAGTGAATAGGATGTCTTGGATTTACGGCATTCTTTTATTTAATTTTTTGAATTATGTAAGTGCATAATTAATTATACCCTGATATAAAGCACATATTCATATATTATTTTTTAAATCATTATAGAATTTTTTATTGTACTTTTCCCTCTAAGCAATTTCAGATTACAAGGTGAAAAATAAACTAAAACAAAACAGTAGTAGCAGCAAATGAAAAGGGGAGGAAAAGACCTAATTCAAAACCACTGATTTTAATCTAGAACGGCCATTTTTTTAAAATCTGGTGCTATGTCTTTAATCTTAGGAAATTAGATTCTTGTTTACTTGGTGTGTTCCTTTGTTAATCATTTGGGTAGTTTTTATCTTTTTAAAGAGATCTTAAAATTCTGATTTCTATTTATTATCCCTATGAAAATGGCCTTTGCCTTTTCAATATTAAAGTACCATTTTCTGAAATAATTATTTTTATCCTCAACAAAAATAAAGACAGATCTTAAAAGAATACATATCTGATTTCTCTTAAACTATTTTAAATCTTAGTTAGTTGTATTTGTAATTATTCTTGCAAGAAGCCTACAGTTCATCCTGAAATCCTCCCTCTTCTTCATTGAGGGTATCTAATTAGGGCCTAAAGTTCCACCAGTTCTAGCACTCAGTATTGCGTTTCAGATGTTTCTTCCTCTCTATTCCTTTTGGCACTAATTCCAGCTTTGTGGTTTCTTTCTTAAACGTTTTTGCTTCCATTGTTGATCTCCAGGTCTATTGTCCATTCATTAGCACAGTCTTAAAAAAAAAAAACATTTGGCCATGTGACATCTCTGCTTAAACCCTATGGTTAGCTTCAGTCCCTGTTTCTGTTATCTACTGCATTCCATATATTACATTACAAGCACCCACAAAACTTTAGTGGCATATAGTAATAAGCATTTATTTTGTTCACAAGTCTGTAGATTGGTTGGGCTCACTCATGTGCTGGGAGTCAGCTGACTGTCAGCTAGTCTAGATTAGCTTCCGAGACTACTTGGCTCTGTTCTACATAGCCACTCATCTTCCTGTTGGCTAGCATGAGTCTTGTTCTCGTGTAGGGGCAGGGCTGCAAGGAGGATGAAGTAGACATGAGCTCTCAATTAGATATATCATTGTCCCATTTTCCCCAAAGAAGTCATGTGACCAAATCCACAGTTATTGGGTGATGGGCAGCACTATCCAAGGGCATAGATACAGGGAAGTGTGAGTAATAACAGCAACAACAATAATGAAGTTTATCTACCTTAGTTCCTTTTGCTTAGAGTAAAAACTTCAAATTTCTCATCATAATTTGGTCCCCATCTACTTTTCTAGCCTCATTTTTTGACTTTATGTGCTAGCCATACTTATAGTTGCTAGAATTATTCAACGTTCTCACCTGTGTTCTTTGTAATAGTGTTTTCCCAGTTTGGAATTAACAGAGGCTGCTCCTCCCATGCACCCAGCTTTTATGTAGTATATGCCTACTTACTCTTTAAAACACAGTTCAGACTTCAGTTCCTCTGTGAAGCCTTTCTTGACTTCCCTAACCAGAATTAGAAGCTTCCTTAGGTGTGAACACTTAACCCCTTACATTCCTTGAATGGGTTACTATAATGATTGGTTTACATTTCTGTTTCCCTATGGAGACTCTGAATTCCTTAAGGCGTGGATCATATGCTTACTCTTTAGTGAGTAAATAGTTCAGATAAGTTAAATAAAAAATTAATGCTGGAGAAAAGCAAAGGAATGACAAATACAAAATTCAGGAGAGTGGCTGTTTTGGCAGGAAAGGGCGATGGATTACAGGGGTCCTCAAAAGTAATGTTAATGTAATATTCTAAGTTATATTTAGAATGCAATTAATAATTATTTAAAACTAGTACTGGGAACATACAGAAATTATTTTGATGAGAATACTTTTTTTCTGTTATTTTGAAGTCCATAGAGATAAGTAAAGTGGTGATCCAGTACTGGAATTCAGATTTGTTATAATTTATTACTACTTTCTTCATTTAAACACCTAAAAATCTTTTGTTGATCCAGCAGTGAAGTGAATGAGGATATATGGCTCCAGCAAAATGCTCATTCCTTCCAAAATTGAACAGTTTCATTTTGTTTTTTACACCAGTAAGTACAAGTTTTATTGTTGGATGATACCCCAGTGCATATGTTTTAAAAGTATGATATGCAATTAAAAAGCAAAATTACTATGTATAAAATAATTAAGCAACAAGGATATATTGTACAGCACAGGGAAATACAACCATTATTTGATACTCACTTTAAATGGAGTATAATCTATAAAAATATCGAATCACACAGAAAAACCAAAATTAATTTAATTCACTTTAATTTACTTAGACTAAATAATGTATCTAATAGCTCATGTAGTAGATTGAAAGATAATAGAATGGCTCAGTTTTTAGAATAATTATTTTAAATGTTCATGTAGATATGCATGTAAGTTTTTATCAGTTCAAGACAAATTGTATTTTTAATTTTGCATTTTTATAAATCTCTTTAATATCTAGCTTAGTGGAAGACAGCTAGATTCTCTTATGTGCTTTTGCATTTAATCTTTTGCAACATGTTGTTTTATGTGAGATATATGAAGAAGATTGGACCTCACATTGATACATTCTTGGAAAGGAAACTATTATTTTAATAGTAGCCTTTTTATATAATAGCACATGTACTTTTTTGATCTTATACCCCAAATTGACAAGTTGTTTGCTTCTTAAAAATAATTGCACTGTAGTCTCTGAAACCATATCAGCTAATGTTTTGTAATTCTGTTACATTAAAAGCCACTGATCTGTGTTGCTCTTTGAATGGATCTTTTACCCATGCTTGTTTTTTTGCTCAGTGTGTTGGTCACCTGAAAAATATTGGTTCCCTGAGTTATGCAGATCTTCAAATGTTGACATATTATTATACAGTATCCCCCAAACCACATATGATCACTCTCATTAGAAAATTCTTTTAAGTGTTGGGAAGGTGTCAAGATCGCAGTGTCAGGTAGAAGTTTTCTAAAATTCTAAATTTGCTTAAAAATGTGCATTTTATTATTGGCAACAAATTTTATCAGTTGTTTTTCTTCAAGGATAACATACTTCATTTATTTTTCAGAAAATGTCTGAATAACCGTACTTGGATTGTTAGTTTTCTTTTGAGTAAATATCATGTTTCCTGGAAAAAGCAGCTACGTCAGCTTGCAGCTCAAACAATTGCATAAAATGCTTTTCCTTGAGACAACCATCATATATCAAGTAGCACTGTTTTATAGTTTTCTAAATCTCTTTAATTGTGACAATAGAAGGCAGCCAGATTCATATCTGCTTCTGCATTCAGTCTGTTGTTATATCAAAAGTCATGTAGCCTCTGGAAAATATCACATACACTTATAAGAGTAAGAGTGAAAAGACACATTTTTTAATCTTAGTATTGTTATGAAAATAACTTTGACTTTGTAGAATCTCTGAAGACCCCAGACTGCACTGAGAACTGCTGCTTTAATCCACATTCCCTTTTCACATATAAACAGTTACCCAAATAATGCCTTAATAATGTCCTTTATAGGTATCTTACTGTTACCCCCAACCTCTATCCCTGACCCAGGACTCAATTCATGATCATGCAGTACATTTCAGTGTCATGTTTCTTTAGTGTCCTTTAGTCTGGAACAGTTCCTTGACTTCTCTTTGTCTTTCTTGACCTTGGCATTTTTGAAGAATACAGGGCAATTGTTTTGTAGACTATCCTTCAATTTGATCTGCCTGATGTTTCCCCAGGATTGGATATAGGTTAAGCATTTTTAGCAGGAATGCCATGTGGAGGACATCGGGTCCTCCTAAGTATGTCCTGTCAGGAGACCGGCACATCATGTCAGTTTGTCTGATGTTAGCTTTGATCACTTGGTTAAGAAGGGTGCTCACCAGATTTCCCACTCCATATTAATAAGTAATTTGTGAGGAGACATTTTGAGACTATGAAAATATTCTGTTACTCATCAAACTTTTGCCCTTCTAGCATCCATTGATGAAACTGTTAAAGCTTTTCCCAAAGTGGTTGTACTATTTTATATTCCTTCCAGAAATTTATGAGAGTTCTGGTCGTTCCCTGTCTTCTTTCCCTGTTGAACTGCTTTGGCACCTTTCTCAAAAATCAATTGAGGGCTTCCCTGGTGGCACCGTGGTTAAGAGTACGCCTGCCGACGCAGGGGACGCGAGTTCGTGCCCCGGTTCGGGAAGATCCCACATGCCGCAGAGCGGCTGGGCCCGTGAGCCATGGCCACTGAGCCTGCGCTTCCGGAGCCTGTGCTCTGCAATGGGAGAGGCCACAACAGTGAGAGGCCCACGTACCGCAAAAACAAAACAAAACAAAAATCAATTGAGCATATAAGTATATGTCTCTCTTTGGACACTCTAATCTGCTCCATGATCTTTTGGTCTATTCATATTCCAGTATGACACTCCTTCAGGTCAAGTAATGTAAGACACTTTCGTTCTTCTTTTTAAAAATTATTTTGACTCTTCTAGGTCCTTTACATCTTCATATAAATTTTAGAATCATATTGTCAGTTTCTAAAACTGTTGGACTTATGATTGGAAATGTATTCAGTCTATAAATCAATTTGGAGATAATTGATGTCTTAATGATACTGAGCCTTCTAATCCATGAACAGGGTTAAATTTCCATTTATTTCAGTCTTATTCATTACCTCCCAGCACTCGGAGTTTGCAGATTAGAGGTCCTTTTTATTTTTATTAAATGGATCCCAGTGTATTTTGTTTTTCCGTGCTACTGTAAATGAAACTTAAACATTTTTAATTTTCAATTTGTTTGTATCATGTCACTTTTCTAAGTCCATTTATTATTTCTAAAGGTTTCTCTTCTGTTATATGTTGATTTCTTAGGATGTTTTAAACAAATAGTCCTGTCATCTCTGAATAGAGACAATTTTAACTTCTTTCTTTCCACTCTCTTTTTCTGTCATAACTTTTAATTTTATTTTTTGATGCCTTATTGCACTGATTTGGACTTCCAGTACAGTATTAAATAGAAGAGATGAGAATAGACATCCTTATTTTGTTTCATGTCTTAGCAGGAAAGCATTCTGTATTTCACCATTAAAGGGAAAATTAGATTTAGGATTTTCATACATTCTTTATCAGATTGAGGAAGTTCATTTCTATTCCTCGTTTGCTGTGAGTTCTTCCTGATGCATATTTGTTGGGTTTATCAAGTGCTTGTTCTACAATATATATATTGGTAAGATTGTGTATTTTTCCCCTTTATTCTTTTACTTTTTTTTTTGGCCATGCCACACGGCTTGCAGGATCTTAGTTCCCTGACCAGGGATTGAACCCAGGCCCCGGCAGTGAAAGCACAGAGTCCTAACTACTGGACCACCAGGGAATTCCCCCTTTACTCTTTCAATGTGGAAAATTACCTTGATTGATTTTTCAAATGTAAAATTGACTTTGCATTTGTGAAATAAAACCCTTGTAGTTATGAAATATTATTCTTATATATTGCTGTATTCTATTTGATATCTTGTTAAAGATTAGTTTTATTTCTGTATTCATGAGGTATACTAGCTACCCGTATGTCACTTCTGCTCTTCCTCCTTTGTAATATTGTTATTTGGTTTCAGTGTTATGTTGTCCTCGTAAAATATGTAAGTTAGGAATGAATAGAATACAAGTTTAAAAAAAGGAGGTCTTTTTCTTCCTCTGTTTTCTGAAAAATTTTGTGTAAAATTGATACTATTTTTTTCCTTAAGTATTTGATAAATTTTACGAGTGTAGGCATCTGTGGCTGGCCTTCTCTTTGTGGAAAGATTTAAAATTATGAATCCAAGTTTTCAGATTTTCTCTTTCATCTTGTGTCAATTTTAATAAGTTATATTTTTTCCAAGGAATATGTGCATTTTATCTACATGGTCAAATTTTACTGTTTTTCAATGATAGTTCCTTATTTTGTTTTTAATTTCTATTGATAGTATTGCTTTCATTTCTGATACTGGCAATTTGTATTTTCTCCCTTTAAAAAAAAATTAGTCTTGCTAGTGGTTTATAATTCTATGAATGTTTCAAAAAAAACTTTATTAATTTTCTCTATTTTTTTGGTCTCTTCTGTAGTCTCTTGGTTTCTAGTCTTATCTTTATTCCCTTTTTTCTCCTTAGTTAATTTGTAATTTGATGAGTAATTTGCTCATCATTTTAATAGCACTTGTGCTAATTAAGCTGAAGCAAGGAATTCTGTTATTCTCCTATTAAAACTTCAGATTTTACACTCTAGGAAATATGGCATCGATACATTATATCTTACCTGATACTTGTTTTTCAGATTATTTAATTACAGAGGAAATTCTTTCTTTCTTTCTTTCTTTTTTTTTTTTTTTTTACTAAGTAAAGAACTTTATTAACCTTTTTTAAACTTTATTCCCAGGCTTCTTCAGCTTAATTAGCTGCAAAGAATGAATTGTATATAAGCAAAAACCGAAAAGAGCCACAGTGTCCAGAGGCTTGGGCTTAAAAATATTAGAGATCTAGATTTTATCAGATCCATAAACAAAATTTTAAAAAGCAGTCATATAAAATAGCAGCTCCCAGTAACTTCTTCAAGATTTTTCTTCTTCAGAAGTTAACTCAGTTCAGTTTGCTTCATTCTTGGAAGCCTCATCAAAATTCTCCACAAGATCTGGAACTTCATCATCGTCATCCTCTCCAGTGGCAAGTGGTGCTTTTCCATCCGCAGGTTATTTGGGCAGAGCTTCAGCCAGTCTCCTTAAACTGGTCGGCCTGTCTGCACCAAGGTGGTTTAAGGTGCTGGGTAGCATTTCTGTCAGCTGCTTTGTCTCAGCATGGCCTGTAATGGTGAAAATGTTTGCTGCCACAGATGCCTGAACTTTAGGGTTGTTAAAGTGGATCACTGTCCCTTGGTTTGTGAACATATTCACTTCTTCAATACCAGAGATATTGTTTACCCGTAACTTCTTTAAGGAGAACTGAAGTTTTTTGTTGTTTGCTGTGGCTGTTCTGTGAACCACCTTCTTTCTGCAAGCAGTTCCTTTCCCACCACTGTGCATTTGTGCCTGCGGTTTGGCGAGGTTTCTCCTGGTTCATGATAGTTTCTTTCATCTTGTTGCAATGGAAATGGGGCCGTGTAGGGGACTAGGGTTGGCACTTAGGGGTTCTCGGGCAGACCAGCTGAGGTTAGGAGCGCACACACAGGGACGCAAGATGGCCGCTGGAGCGGAAATTCTTTCTTAAGTAACATTTCTACCTTATCTGCTGAAGATTTCCCTTCACAAAAATCTCTAAAAATAATTTTTAAAATAGTAATTAGTGTGAACACTAAATTACAGATTTAAATCAACTTAATATCTGGATTAATAACACTAATGTCAAACTGTTCTTCCTGTCTAATATTTTTATTCCTTCATTTAATCTAAATAATGCTGGATTACTCTTCCTATAATACTGCTTTTTTATTTTATATCCTTCTCTAGAAACCTATAATAATTTTTTAATGCTTGCAAGATTACATTCAGTTCTCCTCTGTCAGTCATTCACAGGCTTTCTATTTCTACCTTATACTTCAACTCTGTTATTTCTGTGGCAGGAATTCTTTATCTCAGTCATAACCCCACACGTTGTATTTAGTGTATTTTTGCTTTTGTTTCTCTTATCTTCGGGAGAAAACAATCTGGAAGAGTGGAAAGAACACAGTGTTTGGCTTGGTTACACTGGGGCTTAGATTCTCTATCTTAGTTTTGTGACTATAGACAGATTACTTAGACTTTGTGAAATGGTGGTATTATTTCTTTATGGAGTTGTTACAAGGATAAATGAAATATATACACACATACATAGAAATAATATAGACAGAATTTAGTAGATATTTAACAAATATTAGTTCTCTTTTCTTTTCCCTCTTTCAGATAATCCAGTCCTACCCAATTGAAGTTCCTTTTTTTTATTTTTTCATGAACTCCTTTTTTGGGCCTTATACTACAGTTTTTTGTTGTTTGTTTTCTTTTTTTACCTTTTATTCTGTCCTGTGATACAAGTGATCTCAACTAATTAATTTTTATTGATAACATATTGTTCTTCATTTTGTTCCCTAGTTTAATGCAGCTGAGTCATTTATTGTCAGGAGAGTCAATTTTATATAATGTAAAGGCTGGATGAAGAAGTCAAGACTTGGATTCTCATTCTGCTTCTGTCACTAGCTTACTAGCTTTCAGGGTGATATCATTCCTCTTTGAGCTTATCTCCTCATCTTTAAAAGGAGATCATTAAACTACACTTTTATTAAGGTTCCTACCAATTATGAAATTCTAAATATTCTAGGAGTGCCTGTTTTATGCTAGATTCTGATGAAGTGTACAAAAATATTTTGAAAAACCAAATGTGTCTTTAAGTAGATTGACATGTACAAAAGAATTAAGGTCTATACACAAATGACTAAAATGTAATGGAGTATATAGTAAAAGCCATATAAGTGTTATAAACAGAGTGCCATAGAATAGAGAATAGTTCATCTCATCTTTCCTGGTAGAGTTTAAGCTTTTCTAAGTAAGATTTGTGTCTCCTACTGCTTCTTTTATTTTCCCCTAGAGATTTAAGCCTAGTATTGGACATATATATTAGTTGGACTTGATACAAGATTCTGAGCAAACCTTTTCGTGAAAGTAAACAAAATACGGCATTTAATTTTGTCTTCTGTTATTTATTCTTTGAATTTTTTTCTTTTCATTCTTTTTTTTGCTCTCCACAGAATGGTCCTAGTGCTAGATCATGTCATAAAATGTGCATTGACATTCAACGAAGGCAAATCTACACACTGGGGCGTTATTTGGATTCCTCTGTGAGGAACAGCAAATCTCTGAAAAGTGATTTCTATCGTTATGACATTGACACAAACACATGGATGTTACTCAGTGAGGATACTGCTGCTGATGGAGGACCGAAACTGGTGTTTGATCATCAGGTTTGGTGCACAGATAACTGTATGGTGGAATTAATTAGTGCTCAGTGACTGTTGCTCTTAGAGTTTATTTCACATGTTATGCTGAGTTTTCTATTGGTGGTTTCTACTACAAATACCTATGACAGATAATAAAAAGAATTACTGTTTCAGTAGATATAAAGTTATTCTTTAAAAGTTATTTTCTCTTGTTTGGTGCAGAATAAAATACTAAGATCTCAAAACACAGTTGTTAATTTATAAAAAATTTATAGAGAGTAGATGGAGCAATACATACTAGGAAAAACAGATTTAGTTTTATGATATTCATAAATCATACCAATAACAACTTGCCCTTTTAAAACTTTTTATTCTACATTCCTGGAAATTTTTAAATTATTTTATAATGAGTTCAAGAATTGGAAATGTAGAGTTTTTCTTCCAATGCGAGTGAAATATATTTACTTCTGTATATAATCACAAACTCAGTATAAAACAGGTAAGAATTTGGCGTGTACTAGATGAAGTTTAAATTCAGCACCAATAGAAGTCATAGAATGATGTTGTAGACAAGAAGACTACATACAGCAATCTCTTAAACCATTTAAATATTAATATGTATGTAGCTCTCATATCATCATCCCCATTATCATTGTTATCTGTCTTTGAAAACTTATATCAGTTCAGTACAGGTCAGTACTACCTCAAACAAAAGACTAGCCACTTTGAATTCTGTAGGCAGTTTTGCTTTGCTTAACCCATATCCAAAGGTTTTTGGAGTATGGGGAAGAAAAAGACTTTTAAAAAATCTGTAACACTATTGATGAACAAAGCATTATGTATTACTTGAGAAATGGGGAGTGGTGCTAGAATTTATGACAGAATCTAGCTTATGCCTAATATCTAGGCATTAAAACCCAAGTCTTTATTTATTGTTTCTTTACCAGTTTTTGTTAATTCTTTGCTTTAAAACTTTCCTCCTGCCATATTTATACTAACAAGTAGTTTTAATAGGAGAATGGTAAGGAAAAGAGGAGTGGCTTATATGTCTATTGAGTATGTGGTGGGTGGAAAATCAAAAACATTAGTCTTCAGAGTACTCCCTAGATTGAATTTGGAACTTGTGCTGGCTGTATGTAACCGAGCTCTGTAAAGCTTTGCACTTCTCTGCTGACATCCTCAGTGTTGTTCATGTGGAAAATAAGAACTCCCAAAAAAGTTAGACTTCTTCTGATCTTTTAAAAACAGAACATCAGCAGATAACGTTGTTAGGGAAACAGTTTATTTTCTTGCCTCCAACTGGTTACAAATTTCTTTTCCAAAAGAGGCTTATGTTTTTACAGGTTGAAAAAAAGAATAACTTAGGGGTAGTCTGAGTATAGCACATATGCTGTCCTTGTGTGGGGGCCTTTGTTTCTCTTGACTTTGGTAAAACAGAATGTTCCCTGAAGCCTAGGTTCAATAATGCTTGGTTTTCAACTCATTAGGTAGGTGTTATTAACAGAACACTAGGGGTGAAGAAGCCAGGATTTCAGTGCTAATTCAGCCACCAGCTGCTTCTGTGACCTTGAACAATTAACACAATGTATAAGCCTCCATTTTCTGTTCTGTTTCATGAAAATAAAGTTATAAGTTGGAACCTACTCCAAAAATTACTTGGAGTTGTTTGTGACACTTTAAGATTTGACACTTAACATTCAAATTTGAGAGGAACGTGAGAAAGTTAGAGGCCTGAAGATATGGTTAAAAGTTACTTTGCCATTTTGAATTTTAACATATTAAAACAATTAAAATTCAAAGACATTTGTATTTCCTAAGGACACAGTGGCAGCTTAGTTCTGAAGCTTTCCATGTTGTTGCTTTGTGTGATCTTTCAGGAACAATGAGAACCAAACAAAAAGATTTTAAAAAAACACAAGTCACATATTCAGCAAAACCAGAAGCCAAAGAAAACCCACAACTCCCAATTCCTTGTAAGTTTAGCCAAAAACAACTGGAATACCCAGAACCTGTATTGAAACTCACAGCAATGTAATGGGGAGAACTGGGAATGTAGAGGAAGCTTAGCAGAAGTACATCGTAATGGAAGTGTCATGAGCAGAGCAGAAATTGAACCCAGTGCAGCCACTGGGGGAGTCAGTTAAATACCATGTGGAAAGTGCCTAGCAAGGCCCATAAGTGGTAGATATCAGAAAGCACCATCTTCCAAAAGCAAAGGAAACACTATGACAAGTGGGGACAGTGGCTCTTTATGCATGTCCATTGAAGGAACTGGGGGAGCTCAAGGCTCAAGATAGAAGCCTCCTAAACCAGATGAGGTTCAAGGTTAGAGAAGATGGCTTCACAGAAGTGCCATATTTTGAAGAAGCCATTCAGTTCAGTAGCAATAGAGGAGGAAATCCTTGAGCAAGAATGTCACACTTCCATAGGGACCTTGTATTATCTGGTCCAGGGGAATTCAGCTCATTTTAAATATGAAAAACTAAAAAGCAGTAAACACCAAATCTTTAGAGAAGTACTCTAAAGAAAAACAATAAAAGGAAAAAGAATAGCAAAAACTTTCTTTCATGCAACAGCAGATGAAAATTATATTCCAATATTCTAACATGAATTAATTGACTTAATGAAGCTTGAAACTCTGAAGAAAACTACAAGGCATACATTCAAGAATGCAGATGAGATGGCCAAATAATAGGACCTGGTAAATAACTGGACCTGGTAAATCTCAAGAAAGAAATTGAAGAAAAATATAGTAACACTTCAAAAAATGAAGACTAGTTTACAAGGAACATAAAGAAGAATAGGTTAGGGTCATAAGAAATAAGAAAGGCAGGTAAAGAAAACAAATATAGATGTAAGGGCTAGCCAGAAAATTACAGTTAGAGAAGGCAGGCAAAAGAGAGCCAACGTACACATAATTGGAGACATTAAAGAAGAAAACCAAAACAATGGAACAGAAGAAATATTTATACATAAAATTCAAGAAGACTTTCCTCAAGAAGGAAGCCTATTCCACGTAGTATAAGAAGACCTGATATTGATAAATTCAGGGAAAATTGACCTAGGCATTCAACTGTAAGATATATATATTACTAACACTGAATTTCAAAGATAAAGAGGCCATTTGGTGGGCAACTAGATGAAATGATCCAGAAGTAAAATGAGACTGATATCAGATTTCTCTACAGCTGTATTCAGTGCCAAGAGACAATAGAGCAATATCTAGAAGGTATTCAAAGAAAAGACAGTGTGAGCCAAGGGTTTTATATCTAGCCAAACTGTCCTTCAAATATAAGCACATTTTGAGGAAATTGCTAGAAAATGGAATGTGAGCTAATCAAGAAATGACAGGAGAAACTTTAATCACAGTATTGGAGATCTCAGCTCATTGGCATTCTCCCTGGGTCATTGTGGATCATTGGCAGGCTGAACATATATTTTTACCCTCCTCCTGCCCAACATCCTGTGAAATGATGAGAATATATTAGTAATAGTGTAGAAAAAGAAGAAAGAATGCCCTTAGGGAATTTAAAATATTTGAGGGAATTTCTCAAATAGAAAGCAGGTAGGATCAGATCCAACCAGAAGAAACCACAACCTATAAGATAGCAGCAACTTGAGTCTCAAAGCATGTAGTTGGGGCAAACATTAGATGATCAGTTGGAGATGAAACAGCAGGACATTTTCCAGTTTGACTGAGTAGCATTGAACTGTGATAATTATTAATAGGTCAAGTGTTCAGTGTGGTCATTGGAGCCGGACAGATAGAGCAATACTCCTAAGAGGCACTGGAGAGCTGCTGCAGAACCTTTCACAGCATCATGTCTCATCTTGCCTTACCCAGTCCCTTGAGATAGACTACTGTATATGCAACAGGCAGATGAATAGGGATTCTCAGATACAAAGAAGACTAAAACAATAACCCCCAAATCCAAATATTTGAAGATAATTAATACTATGAGATATGAGGTACTGAACTCAACAGATTAAGAATCAACAAAGAAGAACGGTTTGTAGTGTAAATTGAAGAAGTCTTTAAGATAAATTTAAGTGATTTCTTAGAGCAATTCAGGAGGCTATTGCATTCATGAAAAGGAAATATATAGAAAAATTATAAATTAAAGATTCGATAGTGAAATTAAAATCTCAGTAAATAGATTAAAAAGCAGTGTGGACATACCTCTAAATGGTTACTAAATTAGTGAGGTAAGATTATGAGAGAAAAGTTAAACAGAGAAAAGGATCTGAAGTTCCAACATCCACCTTATAGGAGTTCTAGAAAGAGAATGGAGGCCAAAACAACAACAACAACAAGAACAAACCACTCAAGGTAAAAATGAAGAAAATTCTCAGAGCTGAAGAAAGATGGTTTTCAGAATGAAAGAAATTCCAAGTGCAGATCAGAATGAATGAAAAAAGAATATCCCTACCTAGATACTTCCTTAATGAAATTTCAGAACCAAGGAGGAAGAGAAAATTCTAAAAGCTACAGAGAAAACTGGTTACCTTTGTAGGTAAGCAAGGATCAGATTAACATGAGGCATTTTTGGAGGTTGGCGGGAGGTAGGGTAGTGGGTAGGACAATACTACTTAGAAGGCTTTATAGCAATAGCTTCAAATTTTGTGAGGAGGAAATTATCTTGAACCCAACCTAACCCTAGCCAATTTTGTCTTCATGTGATAAAGTAAAATAAATAGATGGTTTTAAATTAAAAAGCAGTTGGGGATGGGGTGGGGAATAAGTGGCTATCCATTATTTATTTGCTTTTATTTTATTTTAATTTATTTATTATTTACTTATTTGTTTATTTATGGCTGTGTTGCGTCTTTGTTGCTGTGCGGGCTTTTTCTAGTTGCGGTGAGCGGGGCTACTCTTTTGTTGCGGTGCGTGGGCGTCTCATTGTGGTGGCTTCTCTTGTTGCAGAGCACGGGCTCTAGGCATGCAGGCTTCAGTAGTTGTGGCTTGCGGGCTCTAGAGCGCAGGCTTTGTAGTTGTGGCCCGCGGGCTTAGTTGCTCCACAGCATGTGGGATCTTCCGGGACCAGGGCTGGAACCTGTGTCCCCTGCATTGGCAGGCAGATTCTTAACTGCTGCGCCACCAGGTTGAGAGTCCGCCTGCCGATGCAGGGGACACGGGTTCGTGCCCCGGTCCGGGAAGATCCCACATGCAGCGGAGCGGCTGGGCCCGTGAGCCATGGCCGCTGGGCCTGCACGTCCGGAGCCTGTGCTCTGCAACGGAGCCTGTGCTCTGCAACGGGAAAGGCCACAACAGTGAGAGGCCCGCGTACCTGCAAAAAAAAACCAAAAACAAACAAACAAACAAAAACTTGTTATTTGATAATTGACCCTCATTGAAACTACCTATCTTATTCAGGGAAGAACCAAGCTGAAGGAATAAAATTGTTTCTGTCTTGTGTCATTGTTCTAAGATATGGGGAAGAATCAAGCTAAACAGTATCTTTGTCCCTCCCTTTTTGGGTTGGTTTGGTCTGCTATGCAAGAAAGAGCTACTAAGATAAAGATGTTTATGCCTCTCCCCTGATAACAAATGAGAATAGCTATATCAAAATGAAATTTAAATATCCCCAAAAGGAAAGAGAAGCTCCCTTTGTAGCCATATAAAGTAGAACCGTAGGGGCTAGATAACAGAGATTGAACCAAATTAGTATGAATCTGTGAACTTACGAAAATGTAAATACACTCACATTATGTGTGTCCCTCAACAATGTATGGATTGCTTTTCATGATATAATCATTTAAGATTAAAGGGTAGGATCACTTTTCTTTGTAGTGCCAGGGACATGAAAGCTTTGACATCTCAGTTTTTCAACCATGTTCCCGAAGATTTCACCCTTAAGGAACTGTAGATTTTCATCTTAATTTATGGAAGTCTGCCAGAAACCTGGGAAATGGCAAGTGAGTGAATCTTTTTAGTGGTAGGTAAAGAAAGATTAGGAGGCGCTAGAATCCTTTCTTTTTAATATTTAATATTAATTTTAAAATAAGCTTTACAATTATTTTAATAGTTTCTTATTAAAAACAATACAAAAAATAGATAAGTAGCAGGAGTAAATTGATGGGAGGAGAGAATTGAACATATAGTGGCTAGTATTTGTGCTTTAGCAACAACAATAAAAAAATAGGTGTTTTACATACACTTTATTCTTTAAACATAAATGCCACTTGTATTCAGCATCTAATTACCAACTTGAACTTACGTATTCTTCGAAATAGAATTTGTTTCACCTGGAGACTGATTGCTGCAAATGTCTTTTCTTGTGTTTGTTTTGCTATCTGGTAACAACATAATTTGAAGAATTTTGTAAAATAAATGCAGAGAGATGAATTAAGCTGCATCACTCTTATTCACATATTTTCTCTCTTATTAAATGGTAGCAAGAGGAATGCTTGCCTAGAATGGAGAGAAGGGAGTTTTTATAAGGAGGATGTGATCACTGTTTGCCCACAGAGTATGATCAGTGTTTACTCTTAGTTATAAGTCAGTACCTAATGTATTATTGGTTGATTTGGTAAAAATTATGCAGCTTCAAGAAAGCATAAAGCTCCTTAACCCAGCATATTTTATTCTCACTGGAAAAAAAATGGAAACCTGAAAAGGTATTTAGAAATCCATCCTGAATCTCTGCCAGGTGTTGAGCAGTATTTTAATAAGTGCATATGATAATCAGGGATGGTATTTGGTGTTATTAAGACAATGTTCACTTTCTTTGAGATTCTAAAACCGCACACATTGGTTTCATTTTAGCACATATGATAGGAACAATCTAAAACTATTCAATCTTTGCCTTGTTCTATAGATGTGTATGGACTCAGAAAAACATATGATCTACACCTTTGGTGGTAGAATTTTGACGTGTAATGGCAGTGTAGACGACAGCAGAGCCAGTGAACCACAATTCAGTGGATTGTTTGCTTTCAACTGTCAGTGTCAAACCTGGAAACTTCTTCGAGAGGACTCCTGTAATGCTGGGCCTGAGGACATCCAGTCTCGTATAGGACACTGCATGCTATTCCACTCAGTAAGAATATTCTGTACATTGTCTTATGTTATTGTGTCATGTATCTCTTAATAGGAAAAGAAGTGGTGAAATCTAATTCTTCAGTAAGAGTAAATTTTTCATTAGAAATAAATGTGTGGGCAATGATAGACAAAAACAAAGCTACCTTTAACACGGAACTGTTTGCTAATTATAAGATTCTTCCGTCAACCTAATAATTCCTAAGTAGTTATCAGCTGAGTACTAATCTAGGCACTTTAATGACTAACTTCACTGCTTATATGTAGTAGCTATTTCTCTTTCTTATATACCTTTCTACTTACTGTTTTCTCTTAGTGTCTAGAAGATCAATTTTCTTATCTGTTCTTATTTTCCCCTCTGCTACTCTCCATTAAGTGCAAAGGGTTAAGAATTGACTTAATAGAATTAAAATTTATCAGCAAAACCCAGCATACAGACATTTCTTTAACCTTTTTTTTTTTTCTTTTTTTTTGCGGTACGCGGGCCTCTCACCGTTGTGGCCTCTGCCACTGCGGAGCACAGGCTCCAGACACGCAGGCTCAGCAGCCATGTCTCATGGGCCCAGCCACTCAGCGGCATGTGGGATCCTCCCAGACCGGGGCACGAACCCGTGTCCCCTGCATCAGCAGGTGGACTCTCAACCACTGCGCCACCAGGGAAGCCCTCTTTAACCTTTTTATGTGCTATAGTGAAAACTTGGGCTTCCTGCTGTGAACATAACTTTAAAAATACACTGTGGAATATTTTTAACATATACCAAAGTAGAGAGAAGAATATAATAAATTCCCATGTACTTATTTATCAGTTTCAACAGTTAGCATTATTCGACTGTTCATTTTTCATATATCTAACCCACTTATATCTTTTTTTTAATGTTTCTTTGATTTTTAAGTTTATTCTTAAATTTTATTGTGTTGGGGTATTTTGAAGCAAATTCCAGACGTTGTATCATTACACCTATAAATACCGTATTGTATCACTAACAGGTAAGGACGTTTTAAAAACATAATTATAGTATCATTATAAAACCCAACCAAAGTATTGACAAAAATGATTTCTTTATATCATTTAATATTGCATTCATTTTTTCCCTAAAATACTGAAAAATACCTTTTCATAGTTGTTTTATCCAAGTCAGGATCCAGAAAAGGTCTATGTATATTGCATTTGGTTGTTAAAGCTCTTAAATTTCTTCTAATCCATAACAGTACTCCCCTGTCCTATTTTTTTCCCTCTGTATACCACTTATTTGTTAAAGCAAGTAAATCTAGAATTTCCCATTTTCTCAGTTTGACCGATTTTATACTCATGGTGTCATTTAACATGATCCTCTATCTTCGGTATTTCCTGTGAGCTGGTGTGTAGATCCAGAGGCTTGAATTTAGTTTAGATTCACTCTGCTTTTTAGGACAGGCCAAAAGGGGAGTTGCAAGAATACTTCACAGCTGGTCTAATTGCAAGATATAAAGAGACATTTAATGTGTAGTTGTCATACTTTTGGTGATGTTAAAATTGTTCTGGTGGGATTAGGTGTTAACAGCCTGATTGATCAATTATAAAGTTTCCTGTCAACTTGTTATCTGATGGGTTTAGCAGCCACTGATAGTCACAGACTATAGTGACTATAGTCATAGACTAATCTATAGTCATAGATTTTAGTAGGGTTTGAAAAATGGTCATTTTTCTAATCACATAGTTTCTTCATTTATTAACTGTGATTGTACTATAAAAGCTTATCCTCGTTAACTAACTGGCTACCCTAATATGTAAACTGCACAGGATAGGTAATATAAATGTTTGATTCTTTTCCTCTGTCACCTTTTCATGTTAATGAGCTGAGGCTCTAGAGTTTACCAATGTTTTTGGTTTTTTTTAATTATTATTATGAACTTGGGAATTTTATTTATTTTATGTGTTTAATCCAATGCTGTCATTATTCTTTTTTTTTTTTTGCGGTATGCGGGCCTCTCGCTGTTGTGGCCTCTCCCTGTGGAGAACAGGCTCTGGACGCGCAGGCTCAGTGGCCATGGCTCACGGGCCCAGCCACTCCGCGGCATGTGGAATCTTCCCAGACCGGGGTACGAACCCGTGTCCCCTGCATCGGCAGGCAGACTCTCAACCACTGCGCCACCAGGGAAGCCCCATTATTCTTTTTGATCCCTTAATTTTTCTCTATCTTCAGCCAGTGGGAGTGCCCACCTCCCAGAATACCTTTGCATATATGGACACGCGCATATATGTATGTATGTCTTTTTTAGTAAGAGAAAAATCATGGGTTCATACTGATATGTCCAAGTCAAATTTAAGATCATAGAGTTTTAAAATTTAATATCTTTGATTTTGTTTTTGTGTATCTTTTAAGGTTAAAATCCTACTTCCTAATGACGATATGTTACTTGCTCTGTCTTTCTATAATAGTTTACAGAATAGCAAAACTAACAACAAAATCACTGAGTGCTGTTTAAGATTGCTTTCTGATTATTTTTCTGTTTAAGATATTGCCTACTAGGGATGGGAGTCAAAAACAAGAATTAAAATCACTAGAAATACTACTTCTCTGTGTGATCACGTGTCTCTGTGTGATCATATCTTTGTATACAGGCTTTGTATATAGGCTTATTTGCTTCACTTTTTTTCAAAGATTATTTTTTCTTTTAAGTTAATTTTGTTTTCTAATTAAGTAAAAACATATACATAGTTCTAAAGGCAAAACCGTAAGTCAGTATCCTTTTGGAGATATATGGTTTTTATCCCTGTCTTCCTGTTCTGTCACTTCCCCTATAGCTGTCCTTTATTAGTTTCCTTTGTTTCTTTTTGAAGAAAGAAACAAACACAACACACATTACTATTTCTCCTTTCTTACACAAAGGCAGCACCCTATAGCCATTATTCTGCACCTTGCTCTTTTTTTACTTTAATAGGATATCTTAGAGATTACCTGTTAGCAGTATATAGAGAGCTTCCTCATTCTGCTTTGTACCAGTATAGTACTCCATTGCATGGAATCTCTCATGAAATTACTTTTTTAGAGTTTTAAATTTTAAAAGGATCATTCTGAATTCTTCGTGGAAATGACTTTTTTTTCTTCTTTGCCCTTTTTTTCTTATTTTTCAGAAAAATCGTTGCTTATATGTATTTGGTGGCCAGCGATCAAAGACCTATTTGAATGATTTCTTTAGTTATGATGTGGATTCTGATCATGTAGACATAATATCAGATGGTACCAAGAAAGACTCTGGAATGGGTAAAGGCATTTAGTGATTCTTCTCTCATGTCTTAATTACTTTAGGTAGAAGACTATATCCCATTTTCTTTTCTTTCTAACCATTCTTTATCCTTTTCCCATTTGTTTAACTGAAGTGATTCTAAAAGGAAGAAAACCCTCTACCAGCTAAACTATTTAATTCAACCTGTTTAAAAATACTATATGAATTATCATTGTGATTTCCTTTGAGCAGAAAGACAATGTGTGAATTTCTAAAGGAATTATGTGTGTGCTTGTAATGGGTGATTGTAAGAATTAATAACTTAAAAACTGTATTATCCTGTATTTGCTAATTCTTTCCACCTCACTAAAGTGACTTGTATATTAGGCACATATAGTAGAGTATGTCTTTGTTCTGAGGGAAGACTTCACATAATTCATTGGTAATGCCATATAGCTTTACAAGCTCTGCATCCAGGAAGTTATTCTCCTGGTGATAGGGTAACTAGTTTGCCTGAGATAATGCCAGTTCATGTATAATTATTAATAGTGCCCCATTCACTCTCAAAAGTGTCTTATTTTGGATAATTTACATAGTTACCCTGCTTAGTAGTCACTTTGCTTGTGATTGGTATACACAGAAGAATGGTATTTGTTTAAGACCCAATGGTTTAAAATGCCTAATTAGAGCAAAGGGTGAGAAATTAGATCAGCTTGCTTTTCCTTTTATCTATTATTTATAAATATATATATATATTTTTAAATAGTTGTTTATATTTAGGAGGAATTTTTTTAAAAAACAAGATAGCACCATCGTAAAAAAATGCATGTGAAGTAGTTTGACCCTCAGGATCTTTCTCCCATACTTCCTACTGGGCAGAGGCTAGAGCTTTATTTTCTGAGGGAAATAGAGGCTCTGTGGAGGCAGAGGGAACAGGGTAGAAAATAGAATTAAGTCCAGGTACTGAACAGTGGAACTTCTAACCATTTCCCTGCTCTCATGACGCTAGGCATGTGTCTCCTACAAAAGGTTAGTATCACTTTCTCTGGAGAAAAATATGGCCTCATAAAAAAGATTTCCAGATACTGTTGTTTGGGGATATGCTCCCCCCCCCCGCCCATAAAATGTCTAATCTTGCCTGTTGGCCGCCAGTACAGTGGCTACTTTCGTGGCCCAGTCCCCCTACTGTGTTGCCTACAGTTGTACACATACTGTTTTCAATTAAATTTTATTTCTTCACTCTTTTTTTTTTTGGAGTATTGGTAGCCACCTGTTAGGGTGTTATGAGGTCTAACTAAGATCAGCTGAGTCAAGTGTCTGCCATACATCATGAGCTCAGGAAGCATTTCCTTCTTTTTTTTTTTTTGCGGTACGCAGGCCTCTCACTGTTGTGGCCTCTCCCGTTGCGGAGCATAGGCTCCGGACGCACAGGCTCAGCGGCCATGGCTTACGGGCCCAGCCACTCCGCAGCATGTGATATCTTCCCGGACCGGGGCATGAACCCGTGTCCCCTGCATCAGCAGGAGGACTCTCAACCACTGCGCCACTAGGGAAGCCCCTATTTCTTTTAAGTATCTTCTGTATTAGGACCTTCCCTATGAAAGAGAGAGACAAAAACAAAACAAACCTGAAAACAGAAATCTGGAGTGGTGCACTGAACACAAGTACATGAAAATAATAATGATCAAGATCACTTTTGGTAGAGAAAAGGATACTGCATCCATAAAACAATAATAGGATGTAATGAAAGATCAGAGACTTTTGGAAATAAATTTTGTTAAAATAAAAAGTAGGAGAGTTGTAAGATATCTGTCTCCCTAAAAATAGACAAAGAGACAGAGATAGAAATTGGAGAAAATAAGGATATTAGAAAATCAATATAGGAGGTCCAGTGTTGAACTCATAACAGTTTCTCCAACTATGGAGAACAAGGAAATGGAGGAGACTAGATTATAAAACAAAGAATTAACAGAAAATTTTCCTAAACTGGAAAGTATTGGTCTGCAAATTATAAATGGCCCCCTTTGGAAGTCAGTACATTGAATTTAGGAAAAAAAAAAAAAAAACCTTCTCAATCGGAAGGCACATCATTGTTCGTTGTGGAATTTTACATACCAGCCATAGAATATCTAAGAAGCTGCCACTGTAAAATAAGGTTAGATTCAAAGGAACAGATCTTAGAATGATAGGAATTTTCAGCAACATTGGAAGCTGATAAGGGGAAACAAGGTCTTAAAAATTCTGAAGGAAAATTATCATCAACCTGGAATTCTGTTCCTAGCCAAGAAGGAAGAAATAGTATTTTCACATATAACAGGTTTATTGGTGGGGTATGTGTTTGTTTGCAAGTAATAGAAAACCAAGAGAAGAATGGCTTAAAAAATAGGGACTCTTTTCTCTCACTGGACAAGAAATCCAGATGTAGATAATCTGGGACTGATGTAGTGACTCAAGAAATGTCATGAAGGCCCTCAGGTTCTTTTTAGTCTTTGTTTTTCTATTTTTAACTCGCTGTAGCCTCATGGTGGCAAGTTGGCTGAAGTACCTCAAACATGTCTTCATTCCAGATAGGAAAAAAGGAAGGAGAGCAAAACGTACACAGAAAGCTCCCTACTTATATTTTGTTGACTAGAACTGTGAAACCTGGCTTCAAGAGAGTCTGGGAAAGCAAGCGATTAGCTTTTCCAGCCTTTATATAGTACATAGGGGAAGGGGTTTGGAAATGGCTGTTGGATCGTGTAATTAAGAGTGTCTGCCACACAGGTTAAAAAAATGATAGATCTTTTATGCACTCTTTTTTAGGAAGTTAGTACACCATATACACTAACAAAAGGGAGTAAAAGTAGTTAAAAAGTACACCATATACACTAACAAAAGGGAGTAAAAGTAGTTAAAAAGAAAACATGCTGAGAGCTGAGGAAAAGAGAATCTAACACAGGAAAGCAGTGAAGGGCCATCCCAAGATGATACCTGCACAGCAAAGCTATGAGCATCCAGTTCAGATTGGAGCAGGAGGACACAGGAAAGTAGACCTCTCTTCCTCACCAAAAGTGAGGTTTCCAGATAAAAGTAGACTAAATAGATATGTTTGAGCAATTGGAATGAAAAGATGTTAATCAGTAAATAATACCTGATGTAAAAGAGTAAGGATACGAACATAGTAGGAAAAGAAAAATTTTTAAAAATCAGGCATCATCATAGTACATTTTTTGGCTCTACAGTGAGCAGTATTTTCCTAATCATAATAATGCAAAAACTACAATCAATTTAACCAAAAATTGGGATAAAATTTAGTGGGAGGATAGCGTCAATGTGGTATTGATAAAGTTCTTCATCTACTATAACAGGAGGTCAGTAGGTAGTGATGTTATGTAAAAATATGGAAAGAAATATTATAAGAAATGGCTAATAATATTACTTATCCTATCTAAAATTCTGTCTTATTTGTTTACTCATTTATTTTCTACTACCATAGGATAATGTGGAGGTATATGATTTAATCTTTGATTTCCTCTGGTTTTTAAGATTTAGTCTAATTTTCCATTAAAATAACTAGGCAGATGGAGGTAATAATCCCCTACAATCCTAATGCAGCTCTACCTGAAAAAGGTAGTGAAGATAGTAATTGGTTTGACAAGTATGTGTTGAAAACTCCTACATACTGGCTCAGTGCTAGACTAGGGAGGGATACAGTGGAGCTAGATGGTCATGGTCTCTCAGAGTGCTTATAATCTATCTACTAGGTAATATTCTGATGGATTATAGTAGCTATTCTTTATTTAGACCGCACTAAAAGCCAGTCACTAAGCATGGAGCTTTATAAATAGTTCTAATTGGTGGTATTATTCTCATTTACCAGATGAGAAAAATTGAACTCAGTGAAGTAGAATCTCAGTAATACATAACTAGATAATGATAGAGCTGGGATTTAGAAGTTGGAGTGCAAAGAAGGTTTTTGTTTGTTTGTTTTGCTTTGTTTTTGACCATACTAAACTACTTCCAAGATTAAAAGGAAAAAGTGGCAGAGTGATAGTGGTAAAGATTTAGCAAAAAATGCACTATAATAATAAGTAGACTTTAATGACTGTCATTTGAAGATTTTAAAAAATGAGATATTATTTAGTAATTTGCAGAATTGGTCAGTATGTTTCATTCATGGCTATGGATAGCTTTAGAGCCAGCATAGTATGATAATTGCTCTTTTTGTTCAATTTTGTTTTGATTTTAAGAGTAATAATATGCTCATTGTAGAGAATTTGAAAAATACAGAAAGATGCAAAAAAGAAAATATATCAAACCATCCAGACATAATCTGTTAACATTTTAATGTATTTCCTTCTAGTCTTTTAAATGTACTTATTCTATAAAATTTAGCACAATTTTATATTCTGCTATTTTTAAACTTAAATTGTGATAATTTTTTTCATCACTGTGGTTTTATTACTAAGACAAGTGGATTCATTCCTTAATTACTGCTATAATCAACTTTTATAAAATCAGAATCACCAATTTTGCTATGTGTTTTTTAATTTTTAATTGATATGGTAATTTATCCCACAATGCAGACAAGTTCGTTGGTTAATTTAATAGTATTTTTTGGTCACCTACTAGCATCTAAGTTTGACCTTCTCCCTTCTTTTCTCCCAATATATTTCAGCGCTTTGTATATGCCAAGTATGTTTAGATCCATAGCTATGGACCTAGGGGACAAGATCCCTTCTCTCAAAGGACTCACTTGCCTGCACTTGCCTTCTAAGTACTGTGAAGAAAAAAATTGGATGCTATAATAATGAGTACCATGGAAGGTCCCATTTAGGTAGAGTAGGTTGGGAAACCATCTCTGAGGACGTAATCTTTAAGATTTAAGAAAAGAAGTAGAGAATTAGGAAGAACCATGTTAAAAACTGAGAGAAATGCATGTACAAAGATATCAAAGCAGGAAAGAATTTAATGTGTTCCAGAAACAGAGGGGGTGCTAGTGCAGATCAAGGGTGAGGCAAGTTGATGTGAACAATGAGGTTAGAGAAATAGTTATTCA